CTGCCCGCCGCCCACGCGGACTGCCGATCCCGCCAGCCTCCGCGCGGCGCCCTGCGCTTCCAGGCGCGGAGCCTGCCGGGAGTTGTAGTTCTGCGTGGCGCGTCGCGCGAGGGAGCTGCGCTCAGCGGAACTACAACGCCCGTGGGGCGCTGCGCGGAGGAGCGGGTTGGTGAGGGCGCGTTAGCGGCGTGTCCCCTCGTCGCTGTCGCGCCGGGACTCACCGCGGGCGGCCGAGGGCGGCCATGGCGCCGCCGCCGCCCCCCGAGGGCCGCGAGCCGCCGCCGCTGCAGTACAGCCTGCTGCTGCAGTACCTGGTGGGCGAGCGGCGGCAGCCCCGCGCCTGGGACCCCGCCGCCCTGGGCGGCATCCCCAGCCCGCCCAAGAGCGAGGAGCAGAAGATGGTGGAGCGGGTCATGGAGAGCTGCGCCTTCAAGACGGCGCTGGCCTGCGTGGGAGGTGCGTGAGGGACGGGGGGAGCCCGCACGCGGGGCCTGTGACCCGCCGGGGCCCTTCACTGCCCGGGGAGCAAAGAGGCGTCACCTCCTTTCCCAGCTTTGGGTCCCATGATGGAGATCGGGCCTCAGCTACACCCCCGGGGGCCAAACCTGCCCTTGGCAGCTCATTTCACACCTCTCGTCTTCTGCAGGCTTCGTCCTGGGCGGCGCGTTCGGCGTCTTCACGGCCGGCATCGACACCAACGTGGGGTTCGATCCCAAGGACCCCTATCGCACCCCCACGGCCAAGGAGGTCCTCAAGGACATGGGGCAGCGGGGCATATCCTACGCCAAGAACTTCGCCATCGTGGGTGCCATGTTCTCCTGCACCGAGTGCCTCGTGGAGACTGTGAGTAACAACGTCCGCGGCATTATGAAGTGTTTTCTTGCACATAGATCTAAATAAATAGGAAACCAGTATTTCCTTTTGTAAGAAAGGGAGCACAGACATAATAGGCTAAAGTTGGTTCTGCTTCTTGGCCAACAAAGCTTCTCTGCTTTGAGATGTGACTTGGGAACTGCTGTTCTCTGTGGTGGAATAACAGAAGTGCCACCTGCTTCAGGTCCTTGCAGTAATAAAGTGCTTGTTAGCTCAGGGCCTGAATGCATTGGCAAGTATAAACATTACCATTGAAACCCTAGCTGCAGTTGGTTGTTACTTTAAAACATCAATCCTGACTTGCAACCTGGTAATTTGAACCTACAAAAATTCCAGATGCAGAAGGGGATCCTTTGATGGAAAGTCTTAAGTAACAGGCCTTTTCTCATCCTGGCCCTAAAGCAAAAAAATGACCTTGTGCAGCTCACTGGCAAAACTCTCAGCCTTTCCCTAAAACAGCAAAATTGGCCTGTTTTAAATTTTAGTGCTGCCTTATAATTGAAAGATGCAATTATTTCTTAGTCCATCCAGAAGAAAAATGCTCTTTTCTTGCACAGTGAAGCAGTATGTAGAGATCTCTGCACCAGTGAAAAAAGGAGCGTGTTCTGGCTATTGAAATAATTTATCTTTGTCAGCAGGGTGCAGCAGCCCGTGCCTGTGCTGAGAAGCAGGCAGTGTGGACAGGCTCAGTGTTGCATTGCGTGGTTATAGAGCCTTTAAAAACCACTGAGCTGGCACCTCTGCCCAGTGCTGTGTTCGGGGGCTGTATCAGATCTCCTGAGGATCTTCGCCACAGCACTGCATTGCACCACAGGGCTGACACCTCTGCCAGTGACCCGCTCTGTCCCCCCTCCCGTCCCCAAAACTCTTACATTTCAAAGTGCAGGGGGCCATCTGCTGAGAACAAAAGGAAAAACATCCCCAGCTGGGAAGGGACTGGAAAGGAATTTAATATCTGTTGGCATTAGCACGGGTGCTGGATGTTGATTCCATATTCCTTTTTTTGACTCTGGTTTTTAATTCCACAGTATCGTGGAAAGTCAGACTGGAAGAATAGCGTTATAAGTGGCTGCATCACGGGAGGAGCAATCGGCTTCAGAGGTTGGTAGTGCCCTGCTAGGAGCTGTTTCTGTCAGGAGTCCATAATTTGATTAAGTAGCAGGCAGTGTTTTTAAAGCAACACACAAATCTTTTTGCATGAGGTTATGATAATGTCAATGTGAACAAGTACTCCAAATGACAGGAATGCTATCTCCATCGCTTTGCTGTCAGCTTGAAAGATTTGCGTGGGCAGGGAAGGCTGGTCGTACAGAACAGCGAGAGAGGAGAAAAATCAACAGAAGTGACTTCAAAGTAAATCAGAAAATGCTCTTTGCTATCCACACTTTTCTGTGGTGTCACAGGCAGGGAGCCAAAAATACACAGTGATCAACTCACTGAAGTTACAGCTTTTGTGTTAACAGAGCTCTACTTTATATAAGCATTTCGTTGGTAGGAACTCTATTAGCTTGAACAGTGTGTAAAATGCAAGCCTATGTTTCCTGATGAACTAAATCAAACAGGCAGTTCTACCTGATGGTAGCAGGAGAACCAGGGCTTTAGTTCATCAGCCACTAGCAGGGACCTTGCTGGGAAGCACTGAGGGTAATGACAGCTGGAGAGAATCTGCAGATAGGAAAAAGGCTGCTCTGCTTATCAGAAAAATCAAAATTGTCTCAGCTCTTCTTCAAAAAAACAAGCTGTCCGAACTGCACAAAATAAAAGAAAGCTCTTGCAAGCCACCCTCTTGGAGCTTGTTACAGTGGGGCTATCCTGCACCTATTCCTCCTAGAGCTTTCAAAGCAGCAGCTGCTCTTCCTATCCATCTATTCTCCTATCCAGAGATGCCTGCAGCGCTCAGATCAGGGTGCACTGAAATCAGCCACGATCACTAGGGTCTTCTAGCCCTTAGGGGGACACCTGGCAACAGAGAGGCCAGTCAGTGTGTCAAGCTAGTCCAGCCCTGGGAATGCAAATCCAGCGTGTGCCAGGTCCCCTCTGCTGAGCGGAGGCAATGCCAGCTTTCCCTGGTAGAGCACTGAGAGGTTCCTGCAGCTGCAAACTCTTTGAGCCAGCAGTGTAAGCTAGTTAGTGTGAGGAAAAACATCTCCCCTGTTTTTTTCTCACTCTTTCCACTCTTCTGCATTGCAGCTGGCTTGAAGGCAGGGGTCATTGGATGTGGTGGATTTGCAGCGTTCTCTGCAGCAATCGATTACTACCTACGGTAACAGCGGGATCCTGCGGGGGCAAGTTCCCCTTTCGTTCCAGTGTTGCTGGCAGGAGCCTGCGTCACAGCAGAGGAATCGTCAGGCGTCCCTTTCCACTGCCTCTGGAGTCCCGGTCAGCGCAGGCTGGAGAGCGCTGGCTGCTTTTCCTGAATGACTAACAATAATCTGGCTGTGAGCCTTGGCGTGCTGCTTCGGGCAGAGCTGCAGGAGTATGTGAGCATGGAGCAAGCAGAAACAGGGAGCAGTATCACCAGGATGGATCAGCTGACTGTCAGTTTCCAGGAATCAAGCCTGGACTCTGAGTTTTCTAGATCCTTTGGGTCTGATTTTAATTAAATCTGTTGCTAGCATTGAAAGAGGCATAGGATAATCTTTGTAAAGAAATGCTGTGGTTTAGGTTACTGTGTATTTGAAGATGCTGAAAGTGTTTAGCAGTTATCAGTTTGCAGCTTGCCACTCTGCTGGGGAGAAGTAAAATCCTGTGGAGAAATACTTTGTTCCAGGCTTTTCTTAAAATACCAACTGAAGACAAACCACCATCTGTACAACTTGTCTTATTTCAAGTACAGAGAGGAGAGCCAGATTTCTTTACCACATTTTAAAGGGAAAAGCTAAAAAGAATCTTTAGCCTTCGAACTGTGTGGTTACTGGCAGATGAACAAAATAATTTAAGGGGAAAAAAAGAGGCAGTTGCAGAGATATAATTCTCTGTAGCCACTTGGCTAGCCTGGTTTAACCTCGCTGTGGGAGAACATTTAATCTTGCTACTGCTTTAACTGCTGCAGGCTCACACCATTAGTTCCAACAGCTTGATGGCTAGACTAGAAAGCAGAGAATAAGAACGTTGGTTGATAGCAAGGCATTCACTTAGCACACAAACCGTTTCCCATGATGTTCTTACAGCACCCCCGAGTGCCCCAGTGTTACCCCAGGGAAAGGAGAGAGTAATTTCTGCTGTGTAGAAACATTGGTCCTGAAGTCAAAGCACCCGTCTGAGCACAGGAAACTGCTCCCTCTTTGATTTGCGCTTATCTTGCTCTTATTACCAAATGCTCAAAGCCCTCTTGCCAGGTCTCAGAGGATAACTTCTAAACTGAATATTTTAGAAGGGTTTTAACCTTCCTTAAGCCACTCCACAAGGGCAGACACCCCTCCCTGTGTTATAGAAGCACTGGGATTTCAGGTTTTATGTCCTCCCTAAAGGGTCTTCCCCCCACCACAGCTTCCCGTTGTGCACATCCATGGTGTGACATCCCAGAACAGCGACAGCGCGTGCTTACCTGGAAGAGCACCGGGCTGCCCGGGTGGCGAGCACGGAGCCCGACATCCCCACGCCACACAGGCAGCACCACGTGAGGAGGTTCCCAACTCGCCAGCTCCTTTGTTGCCCCTGACCAGTATCCTCAGGCCAGAAGCTGTGCGAGTCAGCTGAATGTGAAGCTTGAGTAATTCTGGGCTAATTAAACAGGCTGGCTCCAGACAGTCCAGGTTTTTTCCTCCAGAATGTACTGAAATGCAAGGATGTAGCCCAAACCATAAGGTCTGTCTTAAAAGATTTCCTGGCATAATGCCTGTGCTTGTATCACTGGCTCAAAACACAACACAGCAAGATTTCTGTGTTGGGGGAGAAGCTCAATGCCACAGTGATCGGATAGGGCAGACAGCAACACCACAGGGCTCTTTTGTGCAAATGTTGGGGTTTTGCATTTTTATTAACATTTTTTTTTCTTCCTCACATGGTTTACAGCCATTTAAAGTTTATAATCTACAGAAATTGAAACAGAACACAAACAAAAATATATCCTTAACAACTTTTAAAAGTCAAATATTAATTAACAGTTCTATTCTACCTGTAGCTGCAAAAATCCATCCCCCCCTCCTTTCCTTTCCTTTCCATAGGGACAAACCCAAGGCAGTCACAGGGACAGCCGCAGCCTGTTGTGCCAGGGCTGTGCAGACCAGACCTCCAGCCGCTGGCACGCGGGGGGAATTGGCTGTAGAGTGTCTGAGTGACACTATCATGGACAGAGACTTGGATACGTGTAACAGGTCAGACACACACAGGGATCCCTTGTACAGTCAGATCTAAAAAGCAGCCTCCTTACCAGGTCCGGGGCCAAGAAAGATGCCCGGGGATCTTCTGCAGTGCTGTTCCCCTTCTGTTTGGCTGGTAGTTCAGAGGAGCAGGGTCTGGAGTGTGAGCCCTTGAGAGGGGGACCGAAAGGCCTCCCCTCCTTTGGTTGCGTTGCTGGTGCGGGGCTGGCAGGTGCCCCCTTTCCCGGACAGGGGGCTTGGGACATCCCTGGGGCATCACTGGAACGGGGGTGGGCTCTGCCTGGAACAGTCTGTTAGCAGATGGGTAAAGGCAGCGCCGCTGCGCGCACGGAAACGCTCCGTCACTTCTGGTCCATCTCCATTTGGCACAGGAGAGCGCAGGGCCAACGCGAGGGCGGAAGGGGCTTTTCCCACAAGAACTCGGCTCACAGAGCGAAAGGATTTGTGTCCCAACAGGTCCCAGCACCTACCTGAGAGCGCGGCAGAGGGGACAGAGCGGGAGCCGGGCGGGCAGGCGGCTGCAGCGGGGCCTGGCGAGCAGCACCCACCAGCTGCCTGCCTGGGGACGCGGTTGGCAGCTCCAGCCTCTGGGGCCACAGCTGGCACTGGAGGCTCAAACGGAGCTGACCCCGCTGGGCACACCGGAGCCAGCAGGAGGAACAGCACAAGGACCAAAGCTGCCCCCAGGACCGAGGGCCCAGCTGAGCGGAGCCTCCAGAGGCTTTCGCTCCCCATGGGCCTCCTGAGCGGGTGCTCAGGCTGGGTTGCTGGCCAGGTCCAACACAAAGAGCTCCAGCCTCCAGCAGCCCAGCTAACAGCGTGGCAAAGCCAGGTGTTTCTGTTTGCCTGCGGCTACGGGCAGCAAGGAAGGGCCAAGGAGGGCAAGGAAACGCTCCCTTCCCGGCAGCCACGTCAGGCCACTCTGCAGGCTTGTGGCAAGAGGCTGCAGCAGGTCGTGGCCAGGAGTCGGTCCTAGCAGAGCTCGGCTGGAGAGAGGCAAACCACATAGCTAAGGCAGAGATAGGGACACCTGGGAAGGGCAGGGACAGATCCTCCTGCTTGGCAAGAACAAGGCCTAAACCCCGCTGCCTTCCTCACTAGGGCTCATTGGAGAATTTTTTGACCTTCATGCCCCGATGGCCATAGGCCAGAACACAGGGTCAGCCCGTGGCTAGAGGGAGCAGACGTGGCCCCGTTGGCCGTGGCTCAGGCCCCACACAGCACCTCTCGCTCCAGCCTTGGCACTGCAGCTCACCCCAGAGCGCAGCCGGGGACACGAGGGACGGTGAGGGGAGGTAACCACCATGCTACACACACAGGCAAAGCGCACGCGACCGCTAGAGAGGAACTGGCCTGCAAGCAGCCGAGGAGACGTGGCGAGGAGGATGCGGCGCCCTGCTCCGCGCTCAGGGCAGAGCGGGCTCCAGGCGCGGGGTCCAACGGTTGCGCAGGCAGCAAGCCACAAAAGGGAGCCGATCGTCACTGTCACCGGGAAGCCCTTGAGCTGCCGGCCTCCGAAGCGAGCTGGTGCTGCACATGCAGGTGGGCTGGGCAGAGAAACAGGCACTCGTGGGATGCTGCAGTCTTGGAGACGTGAGGACACTGGGCAGGAGCCAGAGGGCAGAAAGGAGTCCAGGAGAAAATGACCCGAGGGGCAAGCCTGTGTCCACAGCCCTTGTCAGCCACTACCTCTTCCGTTGAACAAATATACATAGAAACAATTCCTGAACACAAGAAGGGACATAAGACACGACTACTTTACAGCGGGGCTCGGCGCCTGGGCTGAGGCCGGGCCACTGGTACGTGATTGTAGCAGAGCTGCAGGCGGCACCGCGCGGGGTGCGGGCAGCTCTCCCTGGGGGGCTGTGGACCCTTGCGTGTCCCCCGGCCCAGGGAGGCTGGGAGTGTTGGCAGCTGGTGCCTCCCCGCTGCAGGCTACACGTCCGTGGAGAAGTAAAGTGTGTTGCGCTTGAGCTCAGTGAAGGAGATGGGAGGATGCTGCAGGTAGTAGAGGAGGACCTGGACCTGCGGGAGGCAAACGGAGGCGGTTTGGAAAGGGCCAGAGCTGCCAGGTGCCGCTTTGTCTCTGCACCCCATTTTTTCCTGCAGCACCCTGTGGGGAGCTCAGTGTCAGCCCAGCCTGCGGCAGGCACCAGGCTCTCCTTGCAGCTCCCTGGGCCTGCGCAGGCTTTGCCCAGGTCACTTCCCTCCTTGCCCCGGGACCACGTGCAAGCAGCAGCGAGCGGCCAGGGCAGCAGCCCGGCATGGCCAGCACCCCACGCAGCCCCACCTGGGCCATCACGTCGTGCGACCAGATGTCAGAGGCCAGCGTGAGGTGTCCTTTGCTCTCTCCCTCCGAAGGTCTCAGCAATGTCGGCCCAAAGACCGTGGCCAAGTTGTGGAGTGACATTTTGTTGATGGGCTCCTTTTCAGCTACCCTGTGGAGAAGGGAAGCAGAGTGAGCATCAGACCCTAAGCCAAGGAGGGGGGACCAGCTCCAAGCTCCCTCCTCCTGGTTTCCAGCTCCCGGTCACAGCCCCTCACCCTTCCCAACCCCACGGCAAACCCAGGTGCAGGGCAGCAGCTCTGCCTCCCACCCGGCCGCCGCTGCAGCCGCCAGGCTTGGCTGCGAGCCCAGCTGTGATGTGGCAGCGACCAGGCCCCACGTGCCGTGGAGCCCCTGCCCCTCCCGAGCCCCCACGGGGCACGGGGAGCTCTGCACCCGCTCCCCCAAAGGCACCCAAGGCCTCCCACCCCACTGGAGCGCAGCCAGCCCACGCCGAGGGAACCAGGGCCGCAACATGGCCATGTTAGGAGACAGCTGTGCTCCCCCGGCACACGCTGCTCCGCGGCGCGGCCAGCGCAGCACATGTGGGAACTGGCTGTGCCCGGCTCTCAGGCTGGAAAACGAGCGGATTTTCCTCCCCCGCCCCCAGCAGCGAGCACTTTTTCCTCTTTGGTTTTAGCCAAACCAGAGCAAAACGTTTCACGATGCAAGTAACACGAGCGGCCAGGGCTGCTGCCGAAAACAGGGCGAGTGCTCCGGCCAGGTCCTGCCTGCAGGAGCGTGGCCCTGTAACAGCCCTGTGTCCTCTGCAGGGCAGGGCATCCCAGAGCTGCCCTTCCCCAGCCTCGGATGGGCTGTCCCAGCTCCACACAGAGCCTGGCTCAGCCAAGATGAAGCAGAAACGGGAGCACAACTGGGAGAGAGCCCAATAGAGCCCCAGTGCCAGCAGCTCTGGGCAGCGCAGGGCCATCCCCGTGGGGCTGCAGCACCCTCAGGGCTGGCCATACATCACAGGCAAGTTGCAGGATTTACTGCTACTTGTTTTGCAGGGCCCTGGAGCAGTGGGAAGGGATGTGACACTTGGTTCTCCTGTTAAGGGTGGCATTGCACAGCCCCAAACCAACAACTCCTGCAGTGAGGCCGGGGGTCCCTGGGGAGAGCCCCCTGAGCAGCTGCCCGGCTGGGCTGGGGCGGCCACGTCTCGCCAAGGGACGTGTGCTGCCCGCAGAGCAGCCCCGCTTGAGCGGCCATGGGGTCCCCACCGCCACCACTGGCAATGGCCCCGGGGCTGCTCTGCGAGGCTGGGCTGTGCACAACTGCCCCGGGGCCCTCCAGGATCCCGGAAAGCCGCGGGAAGCCCAGGGAGAACATGAACCCCAGGGGGCTCACGGTGTCCAAGCCTGAGCAAACTGCAGCCCGCGAGGCCATGGATGCACCAGAGCGCAGGGCGACGGGGCTGGGTGCACACCCGGGGCTGGGCACAGCCAGCACCAAAGTGCCCCTGAGCAGCCTCTCCAGGGTCGCACTGCAGCCCCCAAACACATCCCAGGCCTGGCAGCGCCCTGCACTCACCCTGGCTGTCCCACAGCCCCATCCCTGCCCTGCAGCTCCCGGAGCAGCGGGGCGAGGAAAAGGGCCTGGCTGCAGCCTGCCCCAACGAGCAGCTGCCTCCTCTTAGGGAGCAGACCACGCTGCAGGGAGCACAGGCTCTGTGCTCAGAAAATGGGACACAGCAGCTTGTCCCCAGCCCCCTGGCAGGGGGACAGGCCTGTCCCTCACGTATCCCGCCTGTGCCGGCCAGCACTTGCTCTGCTCCATGGGCCCAGCTGTTACCTTTTCAAGTGCTCCAGCAGGAAGAGGAAGGTGATGAGATTGGGGTCAGGCAGCGAGCGGAGAAGGTGCATCATGCAGTTCTCCTTGGCAGCAGGATCCGAGAGGGCTGGCGACAAGGAGACGCAGCTCAGGACAGGGTGCCAAAACCCTGCGACTTGGGACACTCAAGAGGCGCACGCGAGCGGCTGGGTGTCACGGGGCAGGGGGTATTCGAATAGCAGGTCTCACACTAAATCCACTGCCAGGAGAGGTCCCCGGGTGCCCGAGGGGTGCCCAGCCTCCAGCACAGCACTGGCAAGGCTGCCACTGGCGAACAGAGCTGTGCTTGGGCACCCGGTGCTTCCCCAGCGCAAACACTCACCGATGCCCTCCATGAAGGCGGGGTAGAGCCTGTCGGTGAGCAGCGGCTCGGGCAGCTCGCGGAAGTACAGCTTGAGCGTGCCGGCGATGGCGTTGATGTCCATGTCGCTCAGCATCACGAGGATGTCCTTGTTATCTGCCCGGAGAGCACCCACGTGTGACACCCTTGCTCTGCTCACAGACACCTGCCTCACCCCAGCTGCTCCCAGGAGGCTGGGGGAGCAGGGACAGCACCGCAGGGCCCAGGCGTGTCACCCGCTCAGGGTGGCACCGAGAGCCCTTGGATTTGCTGAGCCCTAGGAGGAGGGACGTGGGGAGCAATGCGAGTGTTAACGCAGCTCCTGGCTTAGCTGGGCCTGGGAACCGGCGGGCAGCTCCGGCCCGCCCAGGCAGCGGCACGCGGAACAATTTGCAAATCCATCTGCAACGTTTCCCTGACTCAGTGTCTCCCCCGGAGCCGGCCAGGCATGGACAGGGATCAGAGAGAGCAACACACAAACACTGCCGAAAATAGGTCAGGGCAGAGCAGGGCTGCTGGGATCCCTCGCGGGGGTGGCCGCCCTCGTGCTGGTAGGAGGCCAGTGCACGGGCCCAGTGGGTGAATTCCCCTTGCTGCGGGGCAGCAATTCCAGTAGCCATGGCCTGGCCATCCAGCTCCTTCCCCCACCTCCTGCTCCCTAGGGCCCTTTCTGGGCACATCTGATCCTTTTGTGCACGTACGGTGCCAGCTCACAGGGCCGGCTGTCCCAGGAGGTGGCTGCAGAGGAGCCAGCAGGGCTCTCTCCATGGGGCTTGGCCAATGCAGCCTCCTACCCAGGTGCTTTCTGAAGCTCTGCTTCAACCCCAAGCTCAGCCAAGCCCTCCCGGAGCAACGCGGCAGGACGGGGAGAGCCCCAGCAGGCCACTCACTCGCATCAAAGACCGCCTTGAGAGCCTGGATGTCAGTGGCGACACCAGAGATCCTGTAGATGCCGACCTCCTCGATGCCCCTCTTCTCCACCTCCTCGATGCACTGGCGCACGATGTAGGGCACCTTGGAGCGCTCGCGCCTGGCCCGGGCAGCGGAGGGGTGAAACACACGGTGAGCGCGGAGTGGGAGCCATCAGCCCCGGGCCCCGCGGCTCGGAGCAGCGGGAACCTACTTTGTCACCACGCTGATCTTCACTCCGAAGACACCGGTCTGCTTTTTGGACGGGGTCCTCTTCAGGCTCATGTCCCGGCTCGTGAACTTCATGGAGAATTCCACCTTGATCTGCGGGAGATGCGGGTGGGCAGGGCCATGAGCGCGGCCCGTCCACACCGTCCCCAGGAGGAGCCCTCAGCCCCGCTTACCCCGTTCATCTCGATCACATCCATGTGCCAGTTCTTGGTCTGCACGGCCTGCGGGTCCAGCTGCAGGGAAAGAGAGGGCGTGAGGTCCCACGTGCCCAGGGCCTCCTCAGGGCCACTGCAGCCCCTGCTCAGCACACAGTCCCGCGAGGCAGATGGGGGACCCGTTGGGACGGGCACCTTCCTCACTACCTGCCCCACAGGGCAGCACGAAGCCCCCGCCGAACCCCCAACAGACCCGAGCAGCAAGAAACTTCCAGGAATCACGACTATTTCTGGAGGCAGATTGATAAAATAGAACTAGGGCAGCGTTTTCCATGCAGAAAAACAACATCTTCCGATAGCCAAGGCTATTTATAACCCCTGGGAATGACGAGCTCGGCTATTTCTGGCTTTGGGGCGAGCAGGGGACTCTGCTGCGCTCCCCGCGGGCCCGGCCTGGCCCAGCCAAGGTTTTGGCATTCCCAAGGCCTTGGCACAAGCCACGGTGGCTGCACACGGCTGGGGTGGGTGTCCCCATGCCCAGCGCATGGCCGGAGGGTGCACAGAGCTGTCCTGGCCCCCCGTGACATGGGGCACGACCCGGAGCAACAACAACAGCCCACAGAGCGGCCAGGGTGATGAGCTCCAGCTGCAGGCGCCTGCCCAGCCCGGCTCTCCCTCCCACGGGGACGGGCTCTCTGCTCCTGCCCAAGGGCACAGGGCAGCCCGGCAGCTGCCGCGCCAGTCCCCGTCCATCCGCCTTGCAGGGCTTTGCTCCCCAGCTGGTGGCATTGACCGCTCACCATCGATCCACAATGCAGGCGGTGCGCGGGCAGCCGGGCCCAGAACGGCACTAATGTCCCCGCCGGGAAGGGGACGGGGCAGGCGGAGGCTCCCGGGGCGCGTGTGCAGCCACCGGCCGAGGCTCCCGGCGGTCACTGCTCAAGGACACAGGGGTTTCCTCCAGCAGCTGCCGGCTCAGGACACTTCCCGGACGCACAGAAACCACCCGAGCTCCCGTGGCAGCTGCGGAGCTGCTCTGGAGCTGCGGAGCAGGGCCCGGCTGCCGGAAACGAGGCCGGAGCCGCTCCGCGCGCGCCGAGACCGGAGCCACTCTGCGCGCGCCGAGACCGGCAGCGTCCCCGGAGCTGCAGGCTGCCGGCCGGGCCGGGCGCCGGGGCCACGTGAGCCGGCTGCGGTTTGCAGCGCGGCCCGGGAATGTCTCCTGACGTGGAGCCCTCGCGGGCGCCCGCCGAGCGCTGCGGAGGGGGAGAGGAGGAGGAGGAGGCGAGGAGGAAGGCTTGTCCCGTGCAGCCCGCTGGTGGCACTGGCGCATCTGGAAGGGTTTAGCAGGGCTCTGCACAGAGCTGCAGCAAGAGCCAGGTTGGCGGCCGTGTGAGCCCAGCGCGTCCCGCCGCCGCTCCCCACATGACAACCGCAGCCAGGTGGGCACGGCCCCGGCCTGCTCCCCACGGCGCCTGCCACGACCTTCAATGTCACTGCTACCCCACCAGCCTCAGCTGGGGAGGCCCAGGGGGAACGGGAGGCCCAGTGTGTGAGGAGGCGCCTTGACCTGCCCCTACATTCCGGCACATCCCTGCCGGGGCCAGAACAGCCGCCCGGGTGCTCGGGACATGCATCCGGCCTCGGGGGGCAGCTCTGCCCAACACAAGGTGTTTGGGGGTCCCCCAGGCTGAGTCGGCTTCAACCAGCCACCAGCGCCAGGGCAGTGACCAGTTGCCCCCCAACTCCCGCTGGCGCCAGGATGGTTTTGCTGTGCGGCACTCGTGCGGGGAAGCGGTGACTGTGACCCACAGATGTCTGCCCTCATCCTCGTCATCCTCTGCTGCCACCTCGTCCCAGGTGTTGGCTTGTAGGACCTCTTGGTGCTGGGAGCCAGGTTACAGCGTGGCCAGAGAGCAGCATCCCGGAGGGAAAGGAGCATCCCAGCGGCCCTGCAGAGCCTCCTGCCTCCAAGGGCCATCCGATGGCTGGGAAATCCCACGGCCGCCTGTGTGGGCTGCTCATCCCATGCACGCTGGACTGGGAAATGAAGCCACATCCTTGGATTTTGTCCTCAAAGCGCCCCCAGGCCGCGCCGAGACCGGCAGAGCCATCAGCTTCAGGCTGGGCCCTGGACAACTCCCTTGGGCGGCTCCCCGGGGCCGCGGCCAGCTGGGGCCGTTGGGCTGGGCCCGTCCCCTCCTCATGCCATGAGCTGCCCCAGCGCGGGGCCCTGGGCGACACCGGCACGAGGAGACCCCGCGGTGACCGAGCCGGGGCACCCCCTGCACCGGGCACCCCCTGCGCCGCGGCTCCCGCCCCGGCCCACGGGCGCAGCACCCGTGGGCCCTGGGGCACCCTGGGCATCCCAGCGCGGCGCCGTGCCCCCGTCCACGCCAGCCCCATACGGAGCTCCCACCATGCGGCTCCGGTGCCTCCGTCCCCAGGGAGCGGGCGGCTGCTGAGCGGCTCTGTGGGGGCAGCACGCCCAGGGAAGCAAGCGGGGCCGCTTCCCAGCTGGAGAGGCCACAGCTCCAGCCGCGGCGGCGCGGGGGGAAGCCCGAGCCCCGCGGGGTTTGACCCAGCGCCGCGGCTGCGAACGGGCCCCTCGCGCCCCTTAATCCCTCTGCAGCGGCACGGAAAGGAGGTTAATGCGGCTGCGTCACAGCCAGCCCCGCCAGCGCTGTTACCGAGCAGACCTCGGCCCCGGGGGACACGCGGCTCCTGCCTGCGGAGGGGGCTCTGCCGGGGGCTCCTGCATTCCCTAATGATCCCAGGAGCTTTGGGATGGCCCCTTTCCCACCTTTATCAGCCTGCTGCCCGCCCTGAGCGCTCTCCTCCGCAGATGAAGGGCACCTGTGAGCGCAGCAGCAGCAGCAGGGCTGTGAGCCCGGCCCCAGCCGGGAGCCCGCGGGGACCGGGGCTGTTTGCAGAGCACGCAGCACCCAGCGAGCCCCGGCCTGCAGCGCTGGGTGCTCCGGCTCCCTGGGAGCCCAACGCACAGGGAGAAGAGCCCAGAGAGGGACAGGGACCGCAAACACTAGCACTAACAACTCCTGCGAGCAGCCTCGGCCCCACAGCAAGGGACACCGCCGGACACAGAGACCCCATCCCACTCCTCCCCTGCAAGGAAAGCCCCAAGAGTGCTGCCAGCCAAAGCCGACCCCGCGGCCACCCGCCCGCTCCCCGCGAGGCACCTTCTGCCGGAGCAGCTTGCTGCGCACCCTGCCCCAGAGGCGGGCGCCCGTGTTGGCGGGGCGCCTGCCCTCGGGCTCCTCGGCGCGCTCCTCGCAGCCACGCTCCAGCTGCTCGCCCCCCGCGCCGGGGCTGCCGTCCGGCTGCACCAGCGCGTCCGTCATCGCCGCCGCTTGGGCTCCGGCCGTGCGAGACTGCAAGGATGCCCCGCAGGGACGGGGGGGCCCGGGCACGGCCCCCACTGCCCTAGGCACGCGCCGGCATCGCTGCGGCGGCGGTGGCAGGGCCGTGCGTGGTGCCTGGGACCGGCACGACTCCGGCGCGGCGGCGGCCCCGGCTCATCCTGCAGGGTGTGAGCAGGGCTGGCGCTGCGCGGTAGCCCCAAACCTCCCTCCCCCTGCGAGGAAGTGACTCAAAGGCGGCCCCCCCGCCGGCGGCCCCCGCGCGCTTAACTCTCACGGTGCCGCCCGCCGCGGCCCCGCGCGCCTCCGAGCCGCCCCGCGGCGCCAGGCACTGCTTTCCTGCTCCGGCGGGAGCGCCGGGAGTGCCACAGCGGCTGCAGCTTCCCCAGCCCCGCAGGGAAGGGGAGCCCATGGCCCCAGCATGGCCTCTGCCCATCCGCTGCACCCAGGGATGCTGCGAGGAGCGGGACGGAGACCCACACGGCCCCATCCCCAGCTGGGGCACTTGGCATCCTTCCCAGCCCCACGCCAGGGATGTGGAGAGGCTGCTCCATCCAGCCCCATTGCTCCTGCCCGGAGCGGCATGTGGATGAGGGTTAACGTGGAGCGGGAGCAGGAGCGGCACCGGAGCCGCCCCGCGCCCAGACGCACCCTCCCACGGCACAGCCGGCGGTGCGGCCCACGCGGCTCCGCTGCCATCCCGGCTCCCTGCGCCGCCCACCCGGGACCCACAGCCCGGGAGGGAGTGTAGCCGTGCCCCACAGCCCAGCCCTGGTGACAGTGGCACAGCTAGATCCTGCCCCCATGGACACTGCTCCGTGTGTCTCCATGCTCTGTGTGTCCGTGTGTCAGTGTCCCCACGGACACTGCTCCCTGTAGCTTGGCCCCTCTGGAGCCGGCAGCCCCAGGGCCTCCCCTTCTCCCCCCGGTTTTCGCGGTGGACGCGGAGCGGGGCTGAGCCGGCCCCGCGGCCCCCAGCGTGACTCACGCTTGTTGACACAGCCCGCCCGGAGCCGCAGCTGCGCTGGCTCCCTGGGGGCGCCGAGCACCCTCCATCCCAGCCCTCCTGCACAGCTGGGCCTGGTGCCACCCCTGTCCCCAGGAGGGGCCCAGGGACAGCGTCCCGTGGGCATAGGCTCTTTGCAAGGCTGAACCCCCATCTCACACCTCGCATAGACCCATGTCCCACATCGCGCCTTGGGCCCAGCAGCGCTGGCTCATGCTCCTTCCTCCTCCCCAGGGACCTGCCCTCAGGCATTTTCCCACGAGCAGGCGGCCCGGCCGGGCCCTTTGAAGTGGGCTGGGGTGGAGGGACACGTCCCCAGAGCAGCGCTGTTCCCAACAGAGGAGGGGCAGCCGGGCTGGAGGTCCCCCACAAGGCACTACATGGGACACCCCCGTCCCAAACCCTCTCCGGTTGCCCTGGGCTGCTCTGCAGCCCAAAGAGGGTGGAAGGCTGTGGGGATGCAGGTGCTGGGCTCGGGGGACACACTGTCCCCTTCCTCATGCCCTGCTGGCCCTGCTCACCTGGGAGCATCTCAGGGCAGCCGAGGCCTCCATCCTCCCTGCCCAGCAACCGCCAATCGGAGGAGGCTCAGCCGTTGCCCTGGCAACGCCCGTTGCCATAACAGCCGCGCGGATGGAGGCCCAGGCGAGGCAGATGGTGGCAGAGGGGGACAGCGGAGGCCGGCGGGGAGGGGCGGCTGCGCTGGCACGGGGAGCAGGGCCACGCGCCCAGGGCCCTCTCTGGGGCCGGCAGCACCGTGGCAGCGGCGCCGGCCTCCGCCCCGCAGCCTCCATCTGCCTGGTTGTGCCGGCAGGAAGGCAACACTCCCGGCCCGGCACACGCCAGCCGGCTCTGTTCCCGCTTCCCCTGATGCGCTTGCACTGGGCCCGAGGCAGGAGCTGCGCCGGGAGCTGGGGCCGGATGCAGGATGGGGGCAGCCACCGGCTTTGCCGCCTCCTCAGGATCCTCCCTGGCTTTGTCCCACCTTCCGCTGGGATGACAGCCCAGATCATCGCTCGGATTCCTGATGCCCATCTGCTTCACTTGCCTTAACCCCGATCTGAGAGCCCACGCTCTGCTCCCAGGGCACAGCAGCCTGTTGGGCTTCTCTGATCCCCGGCACGAGCCTGGAGCGCCCCTGCACATACCTGGATCTGTCCCTTGCCCATGATCTTGTCCACGATTTCATTGTTGTCCTTGTTGAGTTTGGTCTTGTCGTAGCATTTCTCATAGCACAGGATCCGCAGGGACTGGGAGCCCTCCAGCTCAATCTCGAACTCCTGTAGGGCAGACGGAGGGAGGCTTCAAAACCACGTCTGTAAGGAGAGGGGAGCACAGCCCCTCTCCTGCGTCCCACTGCCTCCTCTCACCTCATTCCACTGCGGCTCAGTTGTGTCCCGAAAAACCCTCGTCTTGGCTTTGCTGACGAAGTACCCAAAGGAGTCCACTTCCAACGTACAGTAAAGGTCTGGGAAAGAAGACACAGCTGAGTGACACCTCCTGGCACTCGCACAGGGGACATCAGCACTGAGCTCTCAGGCCCTATTGGCTCCTGAGCCTTTCCCATGGGGCTGCTGAGCAAAGAACAGGGCCCCAAGTGGGAGCCAAGCTCACGAGGGTCCCCCCGAGCCAGCCTGGCCACCCCCACTTACTGGCAGATTGCTTGAAGCCCTTGGCAGAGTGGACAATGACGTGCAGGAACCCATAGAGCCCAGGGGACTCGTCATCTGCAACGCAGGGAGCAAAAGGACATTATTAGGGTTGCAGATTCAGTCTCTAGCACCCCAGCATCAGGACATCTCCCTGGACAGACTTTCCCATAGCAAGCCCCAGCACAAAGCACTCAGATGTTGGGGACATCGCAGTGACAGGGACATCGCAGTGACAGGGACATCGCAGTGACAGGGACATCGCAGTGCCTCCAACCTCTGTGGAGGGCTGCCCCACAACGCTAGGAATGGTCAAGTCCCTTGCTGCTGGACAGCCTGAGGGGACATTCGCAGTAGGACTGGCTCGTCTTGTTCTGGGGACATCTTGGTCTTGCCCAGCTTATGGAGATGCTGGAGGGACCCCAAAACCCGGGGGGAACAGAGACCGTGGTGATGTTGGGACACTGCCTCTGCCTCACCAGTGCCACCTGGTGGGTACATGTCCCCAGCACAGCCTGCACAGAGGCCCAGCTCCAAGCGGTGGCCTTGGCCAGCCCCAGGCCACGCTGCGTGGGGACACTGCTCCCCGAGGAGGAAGAGGCAAGTCGCCCGCAGGGGAAGAGGGACCTCCAGCCCAGCGAACACTCACCGTCCTTATTACTGGTGACTGGGATGTTGTGGACAGTGCGCAGCTTGAAGCAGGATCCCGTGAGCACCTGCAGCTCCACGGAGCTCAGGACGAAGGCCTGGATGTCTGCGGGAGGGCAGGCAGGGAGCCTGAGCAGGACGCAGCCGGCGCTGTCCCCGGGGGTCAGACTGCAGCAGGCTGCAATCCTGTGGGGCCATCTGCGGCCCAAGGGACCTGGGAGCTGTTGCAGCTCCCATGGGGGTCAGGAACCCTCAGGGGGGCTTAGCAGCCCTGACTTACCCTTTTTCTGCAGTTTCTGAATGGCCTCCCTCCACTCAGACCTCTCATAGTCGGATGATAACAGGAACAGGTAGCTCTGGAAGAGAGAGGGCGATGCAGAAAGCAGTGAACAGACAGGGCTGTGTGCGGGGCCCCAGAGTGGCAGAAATCCCAGCACCGGCGGGTGGTTGGGATGGAAGGTCTAGGGTGCAGCCGCTGCTCCACACACTTGAGCCCTGCTGGGAGGGCTCGAAACAGCAGCTGAGAGGGACAAGGCTTGGCTGTCCCCGGCCAGCGCAGTGCAACACGGCCCTGTCACCCCACTCGCTGCCTCCAAGCTGCCCCGCTCACCTTGCCGTTGCGGTTGTGGATGCGGAACGGAATGGCGGGAGAGTTCAGCAGCAGCCAGAACTCGTTCTCAAACATCTTCTTCTTGAGGCGCTCGATGGCCCGGCTCTGCCCCTTGTTGGCTTTCTGCAGGCAGGGGGAGGACAGAGGGTCTGGGTTGGCCAGGGACACAAGGCTGAGACTCCCCATGTGCCATCACCCATGATGTGTCCCATGCCCAGGATGGGGGCATCAGCTGCCCATCTGTGACCCCTTACTAGGGCAGATAGTCCAGCCCCATGGCCATCCCAGTGCATGGCCCACTCCAGCCCCACACAGCCCCCATTAGAAGTCCCCATGTCCTCACTGGCTCCCCACACCCTCCTCTCACCTCCTTCTGCACCTCGCTCTTGATGGCCGAGATTTTCATCTTCATGTCCTCCAGCTCGTGATCGGGGATGACGTGGACCTGCGGGCAGTGCTCCGACTCCTCCGGTGACGGGAACACCAGGTCGGCCAGGGGCACGTACCACTTGCAGTCGTACTGCTGGTGCTTCCTGCAGCCGAGAGGCAGGGGCTGAGAGATGCCTCCCAGCCCCTGCCCCATCCTCCTGCCTGCCCCATGTCCCAGAGACACCCCCTGTCCTGCTGGAGGCCAGGGCATGCAGTTCATGTGCCCAAGCTCCATGCCCTCCTTACCCCACTGCTGTCTTCTTCAGCTTGGCACAGAGCAAGACGTCGGTGAAGAGGAAGACGTGTCGCAGCTTCCGCGAGCCCTCCGACAACTCCACCAAGAACCCGTCCTTGATCAGCTGCCGGGTCTGCAGGGAGGCAGGGCCGGCATGAGAGCAGGCAGAGAGCAAAGGCCAACAAACCACAGAGGAAGGGACAACTCCATGTCACTCTGCAGCTTGGTCAACAGCAGCAGTTGAAGGTCCATGCCTCTACATGCCACAATGGCCCCTTGCTTTCAGTAGGGTGTCAGCAAGCAGCAAGGACCAGGTACAGCCCCATCCCTACACCCCAGGGCTATGTCAAGAGGACCTCTCCCCATCTGCTGGCTAAGTACCGTGCGGTGGCTCAGAGCAAAGACACAAACCAGGCGCCTGCAGAGAGTTCAGCCGTCACCCTAACACCAGCGCTGCCCTCCCCGCCTGCCTCACCTCCCCCTTGGGGGTGGTGACCGCTGTCCTCCGTGGATCAATGTCCTCATTGATGCTGGAGAGGAAGTTCTGGGAGATGCGGAGGGCATCCTGGAGCAGCGGGTAGTCGGGGTGGTCGGTGGGAGTGTGCTTGAGCAGGTCCTGGAGGAGGAGAGCAGGGTGAGCGGCCCCAGGGGGCTGCCCTCCTGCAGCTCCTCCATCCCAGCTGCTCCCAGAGGACCCCAGGCACCGGTCCCCAGGCCACAGGCAGCTCCCGATGAAGAAGCTGCCAGGTGACCATCTGCCAGGAGCTACGGACCCCGGCACAGCCTGGCAAAGGGACGGCACAGCCACCATGAGCCTGCTCCGTGCCAGGCAAGGCCACGGCAGCCCCCACACCCAAGGGAACACAGCCTCCGTCGGCCACATTGCCCCTCAACATCTCAGTGTCCCCCCTCCACCTCCAGGCCGGCGTCACACTCACGTGCAGGACGAGGGTGCTCCGCGTCACGCGGTCAATGGGTTTGTACAGAAGTGCTGTGGGGAAACACAGGTGTCAGCGGCCACCGGCCTGATGGCACCAGCACCTCTGCCCTCCTGTCCCTGCCCCGGGAGCCAGCACAGCACCCGGCAAAGGCTGGGATCATCCCTGCCGGCCTCAGCCCCACTGTGCCGGGATCAACAGCAGCCAGGCAGGACATGGAGCAAGCAGCAAGGCCTGGCTCCATGGCCCAGTGCTGGTGACAACACCTTGACGCACGCCCGTAACGTGGGTGCTGAGCGAATGCACCGAGCAGGTTCCCTTCCTGATAGACTGCAAAGCCAGAGGGCCTCCATCATCATCATCATCATCATCATCACCACCATCAACATCACTCTGTGCTATTCCATGCCAGCCATAGGACATCCCAGCGGCAGCCCCCTCCGCAGAAGGCAGCTCTGGAGCGGGGAGCAGCTGGCGCAGGCCCTGCCGGGCGGCTCCGCTGGCTCCCGGCTCCGGGCGAACGTCTTCCCCTCGTTCCCCCCGCACGCCAGGCACCCCGTGCCTGGCCACGATGCCATGACGCCGCTGCCGAGCGCGAGAGCCACTCGGTGCCACCCGCAGCTGGAGCCTGGGCAGATTCCCACGCTCCCAGCATTGACTCCCTAGGGCGAGGGACACAAATCCCCTGCAAGGAAAATCCTGCCACAACCCTCCCAGCGGGAACAGGCACTGGGGGCTCTTTGGGTGCTGGACCCCCATCATCTGCTCCCCCTCCTCAGGAGGGTAAGCCCACAGAGCAGGGCTCTTGCACATCTCCTGGGCTATTTATACCCCGACAGATGCCTCTGGATTTTCCCCTCGATTCAGACCACTTCCCCAAAGCGGAGGGCCCAAGCGAGGAGAGGCTCCGGGTGGGAGCAGAAGAGGGAAACGCGCGGCCTCTCTGCGCACCCCGCTATGAGTCACGGAGCGGGGTCCTATCTCGTTTCCCTTCCCAGCTCCCAGAGCAGGGGCAGTTTCCCAGGCAGGGAGCCAGGGCAGAGCAGGGGCGAGCCAGGGCGGTGGCACCCAGCGAGGAAGGCAACCCTGGCATCCCATGTCCCTCCCACCCCAGACCCACAGGGAGGACGGAGCCTCCCGCTGTCACCACGGAGGCTACAGCAAAGCACTGAACAGCCCAGGGCGCTGCCGGTTGGGACAGGGATCCAGAGCAGCGCGAGGCGAGCGGGGAGGCTCATTAGGGAGGTCTGGGCCTCCCTCTCTAGCACTGGGGAGAAGGGGGCAATGGACCCAAGAGGCTCATGGCCTCCAGCCAGCACATGGGGACCCTGCCCAGCACCATCCCCGCCGTGGAGCATAGACAGAGCAGGTCCTCCCCACCATCCCCGTCCCACCGCCCCATGGGGACGGCAAGCGCATGGCCACATGTGCCGGCGCCCAAGGCGATTCCAGGGAGCCGGGAACAAAGAAACTCCCAAGTTAAGGCTGCAGCGCGCGATGAGGCCGCCAGCCCCGGCAAGGACAGCGCGCCTGGGGCCCGTGGCCATCCCCTTGCCCCGTGGGAGGGGGCCGAGCCACCCGAAACGCGTCCCCATCCCTGCGCAGCCGCCGCACCTCACCGTAGGTGCAGTTACAGCAGAGCCGGACGACGACGAGGATTTCCATGGCAGCCCCAGCTCGGCGCAGCCATCGCTGCCTCCCCTCGGCAGCTCAGCCCGGCTGCGGCAGCAGCCCCTCCGCGCGGCTCCCGGCGCAGCCCGCGCGCGGCGGCAACAGGGTGGGCAGGCGCTGGGGGGCTGCCGCACGCCCCCCGCATCCTAACGAGGTGTCCCCCCGCTCGGCTCCGCGCTGTCCCCGCTGCCGCCGCGCGTGGCTGCACAAAGGGCCGCCCTCCCGCCCGCCGCGCGGCGATTCCTGCGCTCCGGTCCCGCGGAGACAAAAGGCTGCGCCCCCCTCCCCGCGGCGCCCGCCCGGCGCGTGCCGTACCCTCCATGGTGACGGACGTGTGGCTCTCCTTGGAGTCCTTGGGGCCTTTCACCTTCAGCTCCTACGGAGGAAATGGCCCGTGAGAGCAGGGGCTAGGGGCCGGGCAAGGACGGGGCTCAAGGTCACAGGGACCCCCCCAGCCGGAGCATCCCGCCGCTGCTCCCGCTGAGCTCCGCACTCCGACCTCCTGCTCCAGAGGGGCTGCAGGAAGCAGGGGGTGGGTTGCAGCCCTGGAGGCCCCTATTTCCCAGGGGACGGGGGCAAGGCATGGGGGTGCAGCCCGCTAAGGAGAAGCTCACTGCTTGTCTCAGTGATGGCAGCAGGGACCGGCCCAAAGCGCCGCGCCGGCTGCACCCCCTCCCCAGCCCGTCTCCCAAACCTGCACCCAACCCCACAGCACTGGGTACAAAGGGTGGCTGCTCCCTGCCAAGGTCAGGGCTGGGCTCTGCCACCTCCCACTGCCACCTCCTGCACAGCATTGCCCCAAATTGCTGGCACAGGGGAACCAAAGCTTGATTTGTGCCAGCTCCCTGCCCAGCAGCCACTAACCTCCAACTCTGCAAGGATGGCCTTGTCCCTGGGACAACTACTGACCAACCCAAGGACAGGGACAGCACCTTAATAGGGCATCTGGGAAGGACTCGGCCACGGGGACAATGTTCTCTGTCCCGCAGGGTGCAGGGCCTGGCGAGCTCACCTCCGAGATCTTCTGGAACTGGTAGTTGCTCTGGCTGCATTTCTCTGCTGTCTCCAGCGCGATTTTGTAGTTATCCACAAAGGCCTTGTACACCCCGAGCTGGCTGGCCTGTAGGGAAGGGCACCCAGCGGATGGTAAAGCCTGCAGCACTGGCACGGGCTGGGTAGCAGCAGAAGGGATATGTCCCTGCCTGCAGGACAGCATGGGGATGCCCACGGCCCCCAGGGATCACAAGCAGCCAGGGCCAGAACCGAGGTCTGCCTGTCTTGACTCCATGCAGGGAGCCCCTGGCCTCAGCAGGACGACGGGGCTCACCCCAAGTCCCAAGCCCTCAGCCATCGCTGTGCCACCGATGCCCAGAGCTAAGCGGGCACCAAGCTTAGCTAAGCTAAGAGACAGCTAAGCTTAGCAGCAAGCTAAGCTAAGCTAAGAGACGGCAGCGGCTGAAGCCAGAGCTGCCTCCCAGGGCCCGTGAGGCTGCCCTCTCCCCGCCACGTCCCCTGCGAGGCCTCGGCAGGGCGCACAGTCCAATCTCCGCTCCTGGGCACGAGCGAGAAGCGGCTGCAGAGCCCGGAGTGGCCTGGGGGAGCCACCACTGCAGCGCCAGCCTCGGCCCACGCGCCAAAGGAAGCGAGTTCCCTGCCTCTCCCTGGAGGGTATCGCAGCTGCGCACCTACCTGGCATGCCCCGAGCTCGTGCCAGCCGCAGGGCAAAGCCAGGCCTGAGCTTGGAGCCCAAACGCCACCCGGCTTTGCCCTGAGGGCTCCCTGCGGTCAAAGCAGGAGAAGAAGAAGGCAGCTGGTGTGGGCAGGGCCTGGCACGGCGAATGAACAGCTGAGCGCACCACTGCTATGAGGCATCCCTGGCACACAGAGGGGCTCCGAGGCTGCACCCCAGCTTTCCATCCTGGGCTGAGCATGATGATGGTCTGGAGGCCACATTAGAGCTCCCAGGGAGGCAGGCACTGGGCAGCAAGCAGTGTATTCTGGACACAAGCAAAGCAGACCTGGGGCTGCACGGAGCAGGGGTGCAACAAGCTCCCCAGCCCAAGCTGCAAGTGAGCACGTGGCAGGGCAGGCACCAGGCGATGCCCTGAGACCCCTCTGAACGTCCTGTATCAGAGCCCAGTGCTCCAGCCCTCCTCCTCCTCCTCTTCAGCAAAGCAAGCCCTAGCAAGGTGCATACCAGTTTCTGGAAAAGGTGGCCCATGGTGATGTTGCTGTCCCACTGCTGCACCTTTGGGGACAGGCTGTCGTAGAACTCCTTGTGGATCTCATAGATGTCCTGGATCTTGTAGAAAATTGTCTCAATCTGCTGGAGGGTGAGGACAGGCTGCGACGTGGTGGCCGTGGCCTTGAGTGGCTTCATAGGCTGCCAACGAGGAGAAGGGAGAGTATTTGAGGCCCGGGCTTGGATGGTAAATGACCTTAAGGACATTTCCAATGCAACAGCAAGGATCCCATCACTGCCCAGGGCGGCACCCACGGCACCACCAAGCCCCACTGCTGAAGGAGCAACCAGTAAGGGTTGGCCCCAAACAGCTAAAACTAGTCCCCAAACAGCTAAAGCTGCGCCTGGACGAAGGCTGTCCGGGTTAGGGGCTCAGAGAGGCACCTCTGCCCCTGTGCGGGCAGGGAAGGCCGAGGACGGGGCGAGGAGCCGCCTCCCTGCCAGGGCCGCGCTCGGCCCGTGCTTCCTCGCAAACTTCCCTGTCGGCGGCAGCCCCCTCGTTGAGCAACTGCGACTTTGCCACGACGGCCAGCGAGTCCACAAGAGGAAGCAGGGCTATAAATACCTGCCCCCAGCCACGCGAGCGAGGGCGAAGGCGAGGGGGATGCCCAGGCCTGGGCAGAGCTGGCTCCAGCGCGACTGCTGCTGCTCTGTTCCCTCCGAGGGAGCTCAGGGAAGGCTCGTTGGGAAGCATGGACCACCTCCCCATCCCTTCGGGGGGACCTCCGTAGGGAGCAGTGCCCTGGCTGCTTGGGTGCTTACCAACAGCAGGGCCTCCAGCTGGTTGATGTAGATCTCCTCGCTGGCCAGGAAACCGGAGAGCACCAGCTTCCTCATCTCCAGGCCTTTGCCAGCATCCCGCTCGCCCTGCGCAACACAGCAAGGAGCCCAGAGGAGTCAGCAGCCGGCACGGAAGGGATCCCCGCATCCCGTCAGGCCCGTCGCTGCAGATACCCACATGGAAACACGTCCTGGGTAGGGCTAACGCTGCAGCAAGGGCCAGCGAGGCCGGGTAGTGCCCAACGGGCGGCACAGCCAGACCGGAGCCAGCTGGCACATCCCAGGCCGGGCTGGCGGCGCTCCCGGCCTGGCTCCTGGCTGGCCTGGAGCCCAGCACCGCTGGCAGCGCTCCAGGATGGCGCAGGCCACAGCAGGACTCTCCCAGGGCAGAGTCCCGGTGAAGTAATGCGCGGTGGCCACGTGAGCCAGCACCGCCCGGCCAGGGCTTCCCCGAGGCCTGCACCCACCGCCGGCGAGGCAGCGCCCACGCGGCTGCCGGACACCTCCCAGCTCCCGGCACGCCGGCGTGTCCCAGCGCCCCGTGCCCCTTCCCTACGGAACACCTTCCGGAGCAGGGCTGTGCCACCGACCAGGGCCAAGCAGAGCCGCAGCCCGGCAGCATCAGGACCCTTTTCCTTAATTCAGTGGCTGCCAGTAGTTCCAGAGGGAGAACCAAAACTCCCAGCTCAGTTCCTAGCTGCTGCGGAAAATGCACTGTGTGGGATGCATGGGGGCAGTGCAGCCCCACGCAGCTGGCAAGGGGCTGGCTGGCACAGGGCAAATGCTGCCGAGGGAGCCAGCGTGGGACGGGGCTGCCCACACACTCCTCTGCTTCCCACCGGCGGAGGGAAGCCCCCCACGATGTCCACGCGGGGTGGCCGGACACCGCACGGCCGCGCCAGGCAGGACGCGTGGCCCACGGGCCAGGCAGGCGACGTGGGCGCTCACGGGGCCGGGAAGCGCCCACCCGCCTCGAGCCTGGGGTCTGCACCCTGCAGAGCTGCCGCCGCTGCCGGGCGGGCGCGCTCGGCGCTCACGGGCTCTTTGCCACCGCTTAGTCACGGGCTCTTCCTGCTTCCCCTGAGGCCGGGCCCTGCGGGGCAGCCTGGGAGATAAGGGCCCTGCTCGTTCCCAGGGCCCGTGGCACCCCAGGGGGTGACGCCAGCCTGGGGGTGACCCCAGCCAGACCCCCCAACATGGATGGGAGAGGAGCAGGGGTGGCCTCAGGAGAGCCCAAGGATGGAGCGGCTGCAGCTGCAGCCCCCTGCCCAGCTGGGGAGGTGACAGGAGGGCGCAGGGCTGGGGCTGGCAGCAGGTACTGCCCGGACGCCAAGGTTTACTGGGGAGCCCAGGACAGGGCGCAGCGGGGACACCAGCGCCCTGGGGCTGCGCTCAGGGGGTTGCCCATGGCCGTGAGGTGAATCAGTTGCACGGAGTGGTCCAGCCTTTCCTGGAGCATCCGGCACGGGCTCTGCATGGCTGGGAGCCCTGAGCACCCGCTCCCCTCGCTGCCCCATGTACCCTGCTCCAGCCCTGCGACACCTCGTAGCCAACCCCGCGCTCAGCCCCACAGCAGCCCGGGTGGCAACAAAGCTCCGTGCCCGCCACTGCCACTGCGGGGACGCAAGCGAAGAGCCCCAGACCTGGATGCTGCCAGCACTGGCAAAACGCCCCTTGTTCATCCCGCCCTCGGCCTGGCGCGAGGCGCCGCTCCCCAAGGGGAATCTGTGCCCACCTTCTCGCTGGCCAAGAACGGAGGGCCGGGGCTCGTGGGGGTTCCCGGCTCAGAGTCATCTTCATCCTCTAGGACTTTATCCAGGTACCCTATGGCCTCCTCTTCCTCCTCCATGGCCTGCGAGCGGCAGGGGGGCAGAGGGGACACGGCGAGGCTGCCGGCGGGAGGGCCTACGCCGCGGAGCCAGCCTGGCCTGACTCAGCCCTGGGCGCCGGCCACGGCGCCGCGATGAAAGGAGCCATTATGGCCCCGCCGGTGCTCCCGCCTGCCCAGCTCAGGCCGTTGGCCCCGGCGGGACACGGCAGCGCTCCCCGGGCGGCCGCCCACGGGCCTGCGTGGGGCCGCGGGGCCGCGGAGGGCAGCGCGGCGCTCCCGTTACCTCCGCGGCGGCGCGGGGGACCGCGAGCGCTGGAGGGGCTGGCGGTGCCCGCGGCTCCGCAGCCGGCCCCGCCGCTCCGCCCTGCGCTCGTACAGGAAATGCAAGTCTTGGCGCGGGAGGTGGGGCGGCTCCGGCAGCGCGTGGTCAGCGCCGGGGTGCCTGCCCGCGCTCCCCGGCGCCGGGCTGGGAGCGGCGGGCGGCCACGTGCGTGGCCCCTCAGCACGGCGAGCAGCGGCTGCCCGGCCTGGCCCCCGGGCAAGGGGCGTCCTGCAGCATCCAGCTCCCTCCAGGGACCTCGGCACGGAAAGCAGCGCCCGGCTATGTGCTCAGTGTGGGCACTGCAGCGCCCACCCATGCCAAGGGCGTCCTGGCTGGCGTCCTGGCCTTGGGAGGCCACAGGAAGCCACCGTGCGCCCTAGCACCGTGTCCCCCCGCTAATGCCCATCCTGGCGGCTGGCACCCATGGGCCCCCGCTGTCCCCACAGGCAGGGAGGCCACAGGACTTAGTGGGCAGCAGAGTGGAGCAGCTCCCATAAAGGGGACCTGGACCTCATGTCCCTGGGAAAAGGCTCCTGGAGTCCCCCTGGCCCAGGGGGACCCGTCCCGGCAGCTAACAAGGGAGTCAGGAAACAAGTCCTGGTGCAGACATCTCCTAGGCCCCGCAAACAGGGCCAGACAAGGCTGGGGCTGGTGCAGGGACAGGAATCCATTACTTCAAGACTACCCATTACTACCCATTTCAGCAGTTCCCCCCTCTCCCCTGCAGAAAAGGGGAACCGGAGGCTGTGGACGCTCTGCCTCCATAAGCCTATTGCTTCTCCTTGCTCCTCTCAGAACCCCCAACCAATTCCTGGCACTGGAAGCACGGGCAGGAACACAGACCAAGGGCCTTTCCAGAGCCCGTGCTGCAACACGTTTCCATGATGAAGCTCCATCTTGGCACAGACATGGCACAGGACAGCAGGACTCTGGGCACGGCAGCCCAGGGCCAGGCAAAGCCACCTCGCACCAGCCCCTGCCCTCAGCACACAGATCCAGGGCAGGCGTGGGGATGTGGGGAAGAAGGCCAAATGCAAAGCCTATGTCCTATGCCAAGCCCTACAGCATCCAAGGATGACCGTGGCCTGCGCCAGGGCAATCATATTTTCCAGGTGGGAGGGAAATATGGGAGTGAGGGAAATAAGCTCTGCGTTTGCGCTCAGCAAACAGCAGCCTCAGTTACAGCCACTCGAGTAGCTCACAGGATGCCCTGCTAGAAACCCTCTCTGATCCTGAGCTGAGACACGTCACCTTTCAGCACGGAAAGGCAGAGACACGAGTCCCACCTCACCGGAGAGCAGCGAGGGGCTGAGCCAGGCTCCCTGTGCCAGCCGGACAGGGGGATCATCATCAGCCTCATGCCCACCCTGAGGTCGGAGGCGCAGAGAGATGAATGTCAGCCCCATGTGGGGCTATTCAGATGGCACTCAGCTAAGCCCCAGGACAAGCAGCTACAGATAAAGAGATTGGAGGCAGAGCTGGCGCTGAGCTTTAATGCTTTCCAATCCTGTTAGCTCCGAGACAGCACAGGGCCAGCGCTGAGCTGAGATGGCCACTTGACACCATTCCAGCACCTGCATCTCTCTGAACAGCTTCTCCATCCGCACTCAGGCAATCCTGAGGAGCACAGCTTTGAATCTCCCCATCCACCATCCCATTTGTCCTGGGAAGACAGACCAGGACAAATTTGCCCAGAGAAGGGCACCGCCTAACAACAATATCCACCAACAAAGGCCGGTGCCAAGGTCTCAGGGGACAACTGAGCCGCTAGGAGCAGCTCCGCAGAGCCCAGTGCTCCACAGGCAGCCCCAGGAGGCAGCGGGACGGCCTGTCTCAGTGGAGGCAGCGCAGCCCTTGGCTTGCTGCTGGGCTGTAGGGTGGAGGCCACCTTTGCGGGCGCCAGTGCTGGGTGCCCAGAGGACTGCGGCCGGCAGGGGAAGGCAGGGGACCCTGGGGAGGAAGCCACACCTCTCGGTTCCTCTGTCTCCACATCCGGGTTTAGGGCTTAACTCTTTCGATGACACAAACCCTCTCACCCTCCGATGCAGCCTCTGTCAGGGCTAAAGTCGCCCTGAAAAAATGACAGACCTCCACCCAGCTGCAGCTCACCCTGCCATGCCCGGCAGCAGCATCTGCCCAACGCTTCCCCTTCCCAGGGCCTGGCAGGCATGTTGGGAAGGTGCTCAGTGCCAGGGCCAGCGCCCAGGGAGCTGGGAAGGAGGCGGCCGTGGAGCCTGGCCAGAGCCTGCCCTCCCGGAGCACACCGGGAAGAGCAGCATGGAGCGCTCCCTGCAGCCGGCATCGCCACCTCCAGGCTCCTGGGAAACAGGCATGCAAAAAAAAAAAAAAAATGTATTTTCTCCTTTGGGTTTTCCACTGCAAAACTTTCCAAACATCTCGCCTTTAAAAATAATATAAAATGCCAGTTCTTCACATGCCCTACTAAGAGCCCCAAGGAGAGCAAGAGTTAAATCTAAGTTTCCCAGAGAAGAGGAGGGGATTGACGAGGTGTCCGGCTGGCGACTGTGTCCCCAGCGCCGCTAGATGGAGCTGGCAGCCCAGCAGAGCCCAGCAGAGCCACTGTCCTCGTCCCCAAGGCCGGGCTCCTCCTCAGGGACCTCACACCTCCTGGCGAGCCTGGCTGCAGGACCCAGCCTGTAGATCCAGGCAGGCCGGGCTCGCTGCTCCCCTACCTCCCTGGGCTCTCCTGGCTTTCCCCTATCCCAAAGGATGACACCCGTGTGTCTGTGAGCTTCCGCTTTCCCCATCTTCTCTTCCCACAAACACAGCATCCTCCAGGACAGCAACCAAACAATGTGCATCTCCTCCCAAGCTGCAAAGAGGAGCCCAAAGCCTGGAGGGCCAAGAGCAACAGGGAGTGGAAAGGCAACCTGGCCATTTGGGTCACCGGATGATCATCACCGCCACCACCAGAGACATGTCCAAGCTGGGCAATCCTGCTTCAACCGCACCCGGCACAGCGCTCCGTGTCCAGCCACCTACCCCGGTGCCGAGGCCGTCGGTGGGCGTGGGAGAGACACCGTCCCCGCTGTCCTGGCCACGGGCACTGAGCTGGGGGGACATGGTGGGCGACTCATCGATGTAGGGCATGGTTTCCGAGCCCTCCGGCAGGGCCTTGGGCTCCTCATTCCCCTCGGCGTCGTAGTCGTCTGCACCATAGCTGAAGTCTGCAGGGAAGCAAAGATGGCCACGGTGAGAGCCCAGCAGCTATGGGCACATCCAGGCCACAGGGACCCGCTCGCTGCCCGGTGCCTGCCAGCCAAGGACCGCAAGTCCCAGGTGGACAGCCCCTTGCTTCCATCACCACTTGCCCAGGCTCTCCCGCCTCCAGGACGCTCCGGCGCCCCACAGAGCCATGGGGAAGCCACTCTGGGGAGCCCCAGGATGGAGGGAGCGAGGGGGGTCGGGGTCTGTTGGGGCTCCCCCAGCGTGATGGGGGGCCAGGGTACGGCCGTGCCGGTTCCCATGGAAACACAGCCGGTTGCCAGCAGGGAGAGGCGGATGTAGCCGGCAGAGATGCCGGCAAAGGGGAGGGAGGACGGTACTAGAGGGGGAAGGGAGCCCGGCCACGGTGTGGGCACCATGGAGATCCCATTGGCACCTCAGACCCCCACTGCTCCTGGGATCACATCCATCTGTACCCCCTTCTCTCTCCTGACAGAGGTGGAAAGAGGACACGGGTGCCTCAGCCACTGGGGACAGGGGAGATCGGGGGCTCCCAGTGCTGCCCCAAGCAACGTCCCAGGTGGGACCCCAGGGCCACCACCACGTCACCCCTCCCTCCATGCCGCCCACTGCCCGAGCTGAGGGGGCTGCTCAGCGTCACCAGCCTGACACTCCTCAGCCCATCAATGCTTTATGCCATTTAATAATTAAAGCTGATAAATCTTTAAATAAAAGAGCGGTGCCAACGCCAGGGAGAGTAGGAGGGAGGGAACCCCATCCTGCGCCCTGGCGCAAATGGAGAAGGGGAGCCCCAACGTGGCCCAACGCATCCAGCTCCGCGGAGCCGCTCTCATTAGCGATTAGCGGCTAATGAGCTCCCCGGGAGGCCGGGGTGCCAGCCGCCATCGCCCGCCGCGGTGGCCATGATGGTGTCTCCATGGCGACGGCGGCTGCCGCGGGTGGGAGGAGGCCATGGCGCCGCCCCGCGCGGTGCCACCAGCGCGGTGGGTGGCCACGCCGGAGCCGCCTCGTCCATGTCGGCTCTGACGGGAGAAGCCGAAGCAGCAGGGAGCGGGGGAAACCCAGCGGGCACGCACAGCCCGAGCACCATGGACAGGAAACCCGTCCAGTGCCATCCTCTCTTGTCAACCAGGCTATGGCCGCCAGCTCAGCACCTACCAGCGCCCACCTACTGCAGCGCTGGCCTGGCCAAACCCGTCTGCATCTGCAGCAAAGCCTGCGCCAGGGACTGTGCGGGCGGCCAGGCTACTGGCACCTCCTCCTGCCTTTCCCGAGGCGTGTTCTCCGGTCCCTCGGCATGGAGGAAGCACACATGGAGCCCACCATGGACTGGGCAACACCCGTGCAAGCAGCCCCCATGCCAGAGGAGAGGAGACAGGCAGCACGACGCTGCCACAGCAGCGGCAGGAGGCACGGTAATAAGCAACAGGGTTTTAACAAGGTGGCTGGGGACCCTGCCACCCACCAGAGGTGACGTCTGTTGTGCTAGAGGGGAAGGGGGTATCCAAGGAACACACAGACGAGGAACCATCCTGCAGTTACAGGGAGATGAGGCTGGCTGTCCAGAAGCCATCATGTCTCCTGGGCCTGGGAATCAGCAAGGAAAGACAGAAACCATCCACCATCAGGAAAAAGGGACCACTTCTCAACGCCTTTTTGGCTCTGTGTGGCTGAATCTGGATCGCTGGATCCAGGATCAGGAGATGCCTCTTCTCACAAACAGTGACCATCGCTAACCCTCCACATGGCCTCCGCTCTGATCTGGGGCAAAGCAACCAAGCTCCTGGGGGCTCTTCACGGACCACACTGCCTCGGTCTGACCCATGTTATCTGCCTCAATGGCTCATTGCAAAATCCAGACCTATATTTAATCCAAACACCTGGGTTTTAGCAGCAGCAGCAATTTTGCCCCACCCAAGGTGGGGGGAACTAAGGCAATGGAAGAAGCCTGGCCAAGCATAGTCATATCTGCTGGTGAGGACACCTTGACCTGAAGCAGTCTCGTCTTATCTCTTCCAAGACGGTGTGTGGTCTCAGCGTGACCAGCAACACACCTCCACAAAGAACACAACAATTCAGTTCTGCTACATTTTTTCAGGCCCAAACCAAGCTAATCCTAGCAAGATAATCTCCAGGAAGGAGCGCAGCCCAGGCCAGCAGCCAGCTCCTTCACAGCCCAGGCCAGACCCATGCCTCTAGCACAGCCATAGCAACCTCAGGTGCCTTTTTTTTTTTTTTTTTTTTTTTTTTTTCCAGGCTCTGGCATACCTTGAGAGCTCATTTGTCCTGTCCCATTTCCAAGAGAGATGTTCAGTGATATCGGTTAGGAGGATTTTGCTATTCTGAGACAGCAAGGTTTGGGAAAATGCCATGTTTTTTACTGTGGCTGGGTGCAAATTCACCATGACAACACTGATGCATGAGCTGGCCTCAGACCTGCCTTGCTCTTCACCACCTTCCTCCACAAGGCTCCTCTGAAGGGTAGCTCACAAGACAAGCAGCACCTTCCCTGCACCATACACTCCTCCTCCCAGCCCACCAGCACAGCCCTGTTTGTGCCCATCAGGTTGTCCTCTCAGGATGCTCAAAAAACAGAGAGCTGGAGAGCACAGCTCACTGTTGTCCTGACATGCCACAGCCTTGGCACCGATTCCAGGTGCCAGCATCCTCCAAGCAGGCACAGCAGGAGGACACCTGGCAGCTGGAAGCGAGTCACACATGTCTGCACAGGAGCCCAGGACAGCAGCCACGGCGCCCGCAGAGTAGTGCCTGAGCAGCCAAGTGTCCACAGGACCAAACATGACCACAGCAGATGCATCCACATGGATGGAGACCCCCTGCCACACCAAATGCTTACAACGGGGATCAGGAGGCCTTACAACGGGGATGGAAAGGCCTTTCCTCAGCCAAAGCACAGCTCGCTCCAGGCAGGTGGAGGAGGAGATGCCAGCACAAAAAGATATTGTGTACCCTCTGCAGACAGAGCCCTTGTGCAAAGTCCTCCTCCAAGTGAGGCACCATGGTGCCAGCCTGCTAGCCAGGGTATTGTGGACCGCACAGGTCTGACCAAGCTACAGAAAACAGGTTGGCTGCTTGGACACCCCTTCTCACAGCTGCACACAGATCCAGACACACAGACCCATCGTTGCCTTCACTTACAGGATGGAGGCCAGACCCTGCCAAACACCCCAGGGAATATTTACATGTTGAGCAGTCTCCCTTGGGCCTCTATTCTCGGCAGCAAAGGTGGCCAGAGAAGGAATGAGCAAGTTGGAGCCAAGCCAGCTTGATTCGCAGAGATGCAACTGCTGGGAAGGAGTCCACAAACACTAGATCTGGATGTGGCCTCCAGGCTCTGTTCCAGCTGCCAGCACTACCATAAGCAAGAGATTGGGACTGACAATCTTGGAAGCAGCCTCCAGCTGTGGGTGTCTGCGGTGCAGGTTTCAGGCTCAGTTTTGGGGGGCTCATCCTGCTCCCACATCCAGCCCCACTCAATCTGCCCTCCAACCACTCCCATGACCCTCTCACTTCAGATTCAAGGGGGGACAGATGCTAAATAGATGCAGGGAGGATGTGTCCCCCTACTCTTTGAATTCCCATTTTACCATCCCACATGCTTACATCAAACCTCACTGCCCTGCTGATCCAGCCCTCCACAAACACCAGACTCGGAACTCAAACGCTTTGGAACAAACCTCTTTAGAGGAACTCAGACTCCCAAAACTGCCCACGTCCATGGCCACACAGCCCAACACCCCCCCAGAACCAACAGCAAAGGCTGCACCCGAGTCCTCCCCCATCTCCCAGCTGTGTCCCAGGCTTCCTTGGCCAGGGCTTCGTGGGCTGCCCAAGGCTGGGATTGCTCCAGGGAATGCTCCCCCCGCACCAGGTCCGGATCTGGCTACTGCGGGGTGGGAATCACACACAGCCCACACAGACGTGCCCTGCAGAAACCCCCGGCCCTGCCGGCTGCCGGTCCTTGGATACAGACCCCACAGGACCGCATTTCCACAGCCTCTTCAGCACAGCCGCGGAGCTCACCGCTAAAATCACCGCTGGCAGACAGGGACAGAGGAGGCTTCCCAAGGCTGCACAGAGCCAGGGAGCAGAGCAGAAAGCCCCCATGTCCCCAGAGACCCCCACGGCAAAGCAAGCTGCCGGCCTGCTCCGGTCCCAGCCCCAGCGAGCCCCACGGGGCCAGGGCCACCATCACCAGAGCAGCTCCCCTAAACGCAGGCGCTGCCCGCGCCGAGCCCGGCTCGTCCCCATGCAGCTCCCGCCACCGCAGCTGCCGGGGCGCGCCGGGGTGGCCGCACGGCAGCCTTCCCGCCGCAGCGTTACACAACAGGTAGCGGGGGGCAGCCGGCCGCATCCCCCCGCGTCCCCCCAGCCCCGGGCACGTACTGCTGTAGAGGGTGTCGATCCAGGAGAGGCGCGGCAGGCCGCGGTGGCTGAGCGGCTCCATGCTGGCGGCGCCGCAGCTCACAACAAAGGCGGCGCGGGCGGCGGGCAGCGGGGCCCGCGCGGCGGGGCCGGCCACGGCAGCGCGGGCCAGGGGCGCCGGCTCGCGCGGCCGCTGCGCTGCCAGCGGCGCCCGGCGGAGGAGGTGCCGCCCCGCGACGGCGGCGCGTCCCGCCCCCCGCCTCTGCCCGGCCGGGGGGAGCCGCGCGGCGGCSCCCGCGCAGCGCCCGCGGAGCGGCGGGGGGACGGGGCGCGGGGGCGCCGCTCACCTGGGCGCTGCCCCGCTCGCCGCCGCAGCGGGGGTGCCAGGAGGAGCCCCCACCCCAGCGAGGCATCCTCGGATCCCTGCCAGGGGCATCAACGAAGGCAGCGGACTCCTCCTCATCCCGCTCCCCACCTGCCTCCGGGAGGCAGCCCTGATCCCACAGAGAGGCATCGGCACCACGGGAATGTCGCTGGAGCCGCCCCAGCACCCCAGGGTGGCACCTCGGTCAC